AGAGCGAGCAGACATGGCAGAAACCCAGGCTAACAAGCTGCGGGCGCGGACCCGGGATGCGCTGGGCCCCAAGGTGAGGGGTGGCCCAGCCCTCTGTGTACTGGAAGTGAGGGAACAGGAGGGGGTGTAGAACTTAACCTGTTTCTCTTCAGCACAAGGAGTGAGAGCACGCACCCCAGGGCTCCGAAGCGGGATGGCTGCCGTTTGCTCCTCACCTGCTCGCTTCTGTGGTCTCATCATCCCCAGCACTCCCTAGCCCTGGAACACCCTCAATAAATGCCACATCCACAGCTCTAGCTGGTCTCCTCATTCTTAAGGGTCAGGAGAGGGAGGGAAACACACAGTCCCATGGACAAAAGTCAGGGACACATCAGTCATTTAAAATAAAGTTCTTTAATAGTCTCCACTTAATCAGTTTATTTGCTGTTAATAAATTGGCAACACGAGGAGGGGCCAAGGTGAGCTCCTGGCCCGACTCCTGTGTCTGGGCTCAGGCAGGAGACGCGGCCCAGGGGCAGGGTGAGCACAGCCACCCTGTGCCCCATGGGATGGAGGAGGGAAGGCCTCCCCCCAAACTTCTGGGAGAACCCCGGGATGAACACAGCGGCCAATGAGCAAACAGAACCCGAGGAGCTAAAGGATAACAAGGGAAGAGGGGCAGGCTTAGGGGGAAGGCAGCATTCTCTGGTACCCCCACCCCTGCCCGGGCTCAGAGCTATTGCCTGGGTCCAAAGGCCAAGGGACAAGGAGGCTTGGCTCACAGATGGGGCCCTGTATCTTCCTCCAAACCCCAGGGCTGACAGCTGAGAGATGGACAGGAGCTCAGACAGAGCTCATTTTAAAAGTCCCCTTACCTCTGGTGGGCTGGGCTCCAGGGTTCTGGGAAGGCAGGCATGGAGCCCCTGTCCTCTTGGGGATCATGAGGAAACTGAGCTCCCCCCATGATCTGGGGCCCTCAGACCCAGGGGCTCTTAGGACACTCTCCTGCCAAGCCTGTACCTGAAGACCTGGGGCAGGCCGAGAGCAGCAGGGAGGCAGGGGAGGGATGGGAACAGGGCGGGGCATGTGGCAGGTGCACCCACCCTCACCCACACCAGCCCCGGCCCTGGCCTGGCAGCCTCCCGAGGCCTGGCCCAAGGTCACTCCTCAGTGAAGTCCCTGTCTATGTCCATGTAGGGCTCCTCGATGTAGCTGACAAGGGCCGAGGGTGACTGGCGGTCCGGGTTCAACAGGATGGACACTGTCTCCTTCCAGTATGAGAAGCTAATGCAGGAGCTCTGAGCAAAGAGAGAGGGGCTGGGGGGCGCCTGGAGGACCCAGATCGAGCCCAGCGCCCCGTGGGGAGGGCCTTGGTAAGGGGGCAAAGAGCCGCCCGCTACATGACCCAGGCGGGGATCACGCACCCAGACACCCCTCAGAGGGGCCCTGGGTCTACGTGCCCGCTGCCCGCCTGCCACCCACTGAGGGTGGGGCACTCACGTTCTCCAGGCAGGTGCTGTCCTTGTCCTTGTGCAGGTAATGCTGCTGCCAAAAGCGCAGCAGGTTGTGGAAGTTGTTGAGCAGGAAGCCGGGATACTTCTTGCTGTGCTCCATGCGCTGCAGGAGCCGCAGGTATAGAGGCAGCCGCTCTTTTCGCCGGGCCAGCATCAGAATCACCAGGCTGGTGTTGAGGCAGCTGACGTTCTCCTAACAGGGCACACGCCAGCAGGGGCTAGGTCAAGCTGGTGGACCCAGCGGCTCTTGGTGAACCTGGGCAGCCACTATGGGGAGGAGAGTGGTCCCAGGCCTGGGCCCTGCAGGGCCTCCACAGAGGTCACAGGCCACACTTTGAGCTGTCCCTACAGACCACTTGCTTCCTCTCCCACACCCAGCCACCTCCCTGCCCCCACCCCACCTGCCGCCACAACATTTGTCCTTGTCCAGATCTCGGCTCAGCCATTGCTTCTTCTAGGAAGTGTCAGTCCCAAGCAGGGCTAGTGTTCATGTCAAGTGTAGCTGTCGCACTTTAGAACGTCATTCAGCACTAGGCTGAGCCTCACAGGGAGGGTCTCGGTCTGTCTTGCTCACCACACTCCCCGCCCAGGTACCACCTCTATAAAGTCAGATGACAGAAGAAAAGGACCACTTTGGAGAGGTACAGTATCACCCACACTTTAGAGGAGAGGTGTAAAGCTCAGAGAGAGGAAGGCTGCACAGACTTAGTGAGGGAGCTGGGAGGTGATCTCAGGTCCCAGTCTGGTACAGCAGGAGCACAGGAGGGTGGGTGACATGAGACATGAGGGTTTGGGGGAGAAGGACTGGCGGAGAGTCAGAAGTACGCAGGGTCAACCTCCACTGTGCCCGACTCAATTCTGTGACCTCAGGGGACTTGCTGTCCCTCCCTGAGTACCATCTGTAAAATGGGGGCACTGACTCCTTATGGGGCAAAGTCCTTAAAACAGCTGGGTCTCAGGAGATGTGCTTCTGGGACACGGATATAAAACTCCGGGCTCCAGGATGAGCGGAATGCTTTCCAGTCCACCTTCCCCTATCACCTGTCTCCGGGGGGCCACACCTGTGTCAGCGTCTGCACATGGATGATGTTGATGAGGCGGAAGAGGAAGGACATCTGTGTGGGCACCTGGGATATGTAGGCGAGGAGGCGGCACTCGGACAGGACCTCAGCAACTGCGGAGGGAGGCAGCAGTGTAGGCAGTAGGCTCTGGCCCAGAGCTGGGCCACCCATGCCTCTGGTTGAGCCCCACTGGGTCCTGACTCTGAAGCTAGGAGTCTTCTCAGCTCTCCCAGCCCAGCCCCAGATCCCCGTCCCTCCTATTATGCATGGAATGACAGCCTGCTGACACTACATTAAGAAAAACAGTGAAATTTAGATAGTTTCCAAGCTCTATCAGGAAGATATGCCTGGCTTCCCACACCCATGCTCCTGAGTCTTGTGCCCGCTGTTGGGGGTCACAGTGTGCACGCGGGGCTGCAGCTTTGCGGCCTCCCAGCAAATAGCCTCCTGCACTCTCCACAGGTGGGAGCAACACTGGAATGTACCCAACTACGTTGCTCTTCCCTAAAACAGGCCCTTTAGGGCAGGAAAAGGAGGCAAGTGGCAAATTACCAAATGACCAGGCTACTTTTTGCTATTAATGACAGTGACTATAACGAGGGCCAGTGACTACCTTTTTTTGGTGGGGGGACCCTGCCCTGTGTGAGCATCTGCTAAAGATCCTTTCCTCGTGTGGGTGTATATGTATGTACATGTGTGTGTGTGTGTATACATGCAGTATGCATGCAATTCTGGGAGACTGCAGATGCGTCCCACTGTGCCACAGTACCTCCATAACACCACTGTTTGAGAGAGAATCTGGGCCCAGAAGAGAAAGTGATTTTTTTGCCTTTTTTTTTTTTTTTTTTCATTTTGCTAGCAACTTTTTTGTTTCTTTATTAGAATGTACATGCTCATTAAAGCAAACATGAACAACAGAGAGAAACAAAGCAGATCACCCGGGGAGCCAGGTGGGTGTCTGGTACAGTGACTCGAGCCTTTCATGTCTCCTTGCTGGGGGCTCAGTGTCTACACCGTCACACTGGACTAATGGATTAGCCTTGGTGACTGGCTTTTTCTTACCTTTCTTCTATTTTTTTTTTTTAATTTTAATTTTACATGCACCCTCCAGAGACAAAGGGGGGAGGTGGAGTGACAAAGCATCTCCCAGGGAGGATGGCCATGCCACAATCCCTTCTTGTCCATTATTGTCTCAGGATTTTATGCACGCACACACCTATGTCTAGGGTGTTTTTCAAGCCACCAAGCCAGGGACTCAAAACATGCAGTTAGCCATGTTGGATCCAGCTACCTTAACCACCATGCCACCAGTTGGCCCTTTTCTTACCTTTCATGTCCACCTGGTTTTCAAATCGGTCCAGTGACAGGGTGACACAGCGCACCAGCATGTTGGAGTCCACCAGAGAGCTGTTGATCTGCTTCAGGAACACCTGGAACTAGAGCAGAGACCAAGCTCATGGAGGCAGCAGGCCAGAGAGGGCCAGGGCTCTGGGTGGGCAGTCTCGGGGCAGGCCATCTTCCACCCCAGCCCTGGTGTGTCTCAGCTGGAAAGATCCAAGTGCACACAAGCTGAGTGACCTGTATCACCACCCAGCTACTAAGCAGCACTCCAGGAGCTTGGCCCAGGTATTCTGACACTGGTCCCATGCTTCCGCTGAGGACTGCTGCACTCTACTCACTTTTACTTCAAGTAGTCTGAACTGGGTTCTATCACCCACTCCCCTGTGAGCCCAAGGCCAGACCCAACTGCATCACAGCAGTTCCACAACCTTTTCACTCCCATTTTTACTCCCTGCTCACAACAGCCAAGGTTTTCATCGTCGAGTTTCCAGGGCCTAGCATTGTGCCTGGCACAGAGTAGGTGATAATGAAAGTTGGCTGAAGCCCGTCCACTGATTCCTATATTCTCCAATTTGAAACCCGCACCTGAAGATTGGCAGGTTGACTGTGGATGATCCAGCAAGCCCCCACGGAGCCCTGTGCTAAAACCTTACCTTTGCATCAGTGTTGATATATTTATTGAATCTCTTGAATGCATCAACGTTGAACTTCATCAGCTCCCCCAGGAGGTCAAAGTAACTCTGGAGCACATCTCTTGACTTGCACTCACTGTCCACAATGCAGTACAGGATGTGCTGGGGTGAGAAGGGGACAGGGTGGAGGTGCAGATGGGGCTGCCCCCACCTGCCTCCCACGAGGCCTGGCATGGAGCTCAGACTGCACAATCGCTTCCAACAAGAATCTAGGTAGAAAGAACCTGCATCCCTGTTGAGTCTTGTCTGCGGACGCCAGTGGCTCCAAGGACAGGGTCAGGCCCAGCACAGCTCCCCAGAATGGGAGCCGGCTGGGTGTGCAGCACAGGCTCTCTCAGAGCGGAAGGCTCCAACCGCTCTGCAGCCACCGAGATGGCCAGGGCTTTCCAGTTCCCAGGCAAGGGGTGCCGCCTCCAGATTTACCAAGCACTGAGGCCACTCAAGTTGGTGAGGATGGAGCTTAAGGCCACGGGACACAAGCTGATCTCATGGTTTGTCTTTTTGTCTCTGAGTGAAACTGTTTAAAGTTTATAACCAAATCAATGACTTTTTATCAAGAACTTAAATTTAATTTAACTCCCGGAAAAAGTCTTCTTCCACAGTTTAAGGACTTCCAAGAATATTTTCATTTTCTTGAAGTAAAATTGATTTGGATCAATTCTTTTCCATATGAATTTTATAACAATTCATGGGCCAGTTTCTTGTCCATATCAACTTATTTAAACTTAATATAACTTTGGCCATTTTGGCTCTTCTGCACCTATGTATTTAGCTTTTTCTGAAGGTCATTGATCAATAAAGTAAAATTAACTTTTGGTCAGTTACCAAAATATCTCCAGGGTCACAAGGCCTTGTGGGGTAACTCCAGCTATTTACTCTCTTGTATGGCCACCCCCAAAAGTCTCAGTAATCCCTAAGGCACCCCCAGGGAACCTACAGGTGGAAGCCCAGGAAAAACAGTAGGGTGATCTGCACTGGCATTTAAAAATCACAAGATTCAGTTTGCCCCTAACAAATTAGTCCGGGTTGAGGACAGAAAGGCAATGTGTGGGGCTAGGAGAGAATGGCCACCCCACACCCTGGCTCCTCCAGGCCATACCTCCAGAAGGCCTC